ACCGTGCCCAGAGCTGCCGGGCCAATGACCAGCGTGGGCTGCTCTCCAAGGAGGACCTGGTCCTGCCTGACTTCCTACAGCTCCCTGGGGAGGACAACAGCACCTGCAAGGGTTCGGATCAGCCCCACACCCCTCACCCATCCTCCAAGGGACATGACTGCGCTCAGCCTGCAGAGCCTGCACCAGCTCAGCCTGCAGTCAACCACGAGCTCCGATGAGTCCTGCTGCACATCTGCACCCGGTGCGTGGTACCCCCCGGCCATGCTGGGGTTCAACACAGGGCCTGACTGGCCCCTGCCCTGCACTGCCGACACTGCCCAGACTGCAGATTCATCCACGTCCTGTCCCAAACTGTCGTGTCGTGTCACTGTGAGTGGTTGAGCAGCTGCCATGCCCCTTGGTGGGGTCACATTCTGGTGCACGTCAAAGGAGTCCTGTACATAGTTTGAACCCCTGTTGCAAAGCACTTTGCAATGTCCCACGCATGCCTGGTGCTGTCCTGGCCAGTGCCTCTGCCACTGGCAAAGCTGCTGCCCCAGCAGATCCTGCCTGTGCCACCTGGCACAGCCCTGTGGACTGTTCAGGTGGGGAAAGCACCCTTCCAGCTGAAGGGAGTGTGGGACAGAGAGGATGGGTGGGGTGGCAAGGCAGGCTGTGGGCAGGCAGGGTCAGAGGAACGCATGTCCAGAGCTGAGGGCTGGATTGTGTCCCTAACTCTGCGGGAACAGGGCTTGCCCCCTGTTGCTGTGCAGGTCTGTGCTTCCCAGGAAAGGTGAGCATGGCCCTGCCAGCCTGTGCCCTGGGAAGGTTGTTGCTATCCATGTTGTGTGAACATGGCTGGGCCTGATCCTGCCCGATAGCGCTGCCATTGTGGAGCAGGGCAGCTGGGTCCTGCCTGGAGCAGACAGAGGCAGAGCCAGCAGGTTGTGCCAAACAAGCCTTCTCCCCCCTGCAGGGATACCCTGTGTGGGCAGCTGCTGGAGCACCCACAGAAGCAGATCCCTGTAGGCCCTCAGCCTAGCTGGGGCTGTGAGTGCTCATCGCTTAAGGACAGCCCTCCTGGCTGCTGAGCATCTCAGCCTGGTGTGTGGGTACCCTGTGTGTGCCCTGCCTGGCATTCCTCACTGGAGGCTGGCCTGTACAGCTGATGGATTTGGCTGTGCCTTGTGGGTCCCCAGCAGCCCCCTGTCCCTAAAGGTCCTAGAACCACTCTGTGATGGAGCCAGCCCCTCAACAGCAGCCAGGAGATCCCTCCATTTTCTGTGTGTGCCAGGGCTCTTCCTGGCTGTGCCCTGGGTCACTGCTTCATCACCCCTACCCAGCCAGAGGCAGAGGGGTGGCCAGGGCAGGGGCTTGTGGCCACCCAGCCCCACACTGCCACGGCCAGCTGTGGTCCCAGTCAGAGCCCCCCAGTATTTCTGTGGTGCTGCCGAGTCCTGTCTGTGGTGTGAAACCAGGGGAAATAAAGAGCATTGCCTGGATGTGCGTTCTCCTTCCTTCATGTCCAAGGCCGAGGAGTGCTTTCCCCAGCAGCACTGTCCCCCCAGACTCCTACTACCCCACAGAGCGCCCTGGGACCAGGGCAAAGCTGGAGCCAACCCTCAGCTTCAGTGCCACCCTGCCCAGCAGCCAGGGGCAATGCCAGGAGCTTGTTTTCCTGGCACAACTGATGGTGTAGGGGAGGCTACAGGACCAGCATGGCCAAGGACTTCAGCCCCAATCCTGTCAATGAGTGACAGTCAGCCTGCCAGGGCCTCACCAGGTTAATGATTGTGGGGGCAGCTGGCCAAGAGCTCCTGGGCATGGGGCAAGCATGGACACTGGCTTCCTGCCCATTGCAGCCTGGTGCAGGTCTCTGTGAGTGCCACTGGCTGCACCCTGGCCAGAAGGGTCCACAGGTCCCACAGAGGCAGGATGTGTCCCCTGCTGTGGCACCTCTTGGGCATTCAGCTTCATCAGTTTGTGACCTAGTGGAGGCTTGGTGATGCTCCAGCTGTGACAGGGATGTCCCTTGGTCATTCCCAAGCACCCTGGGGTACCTGAGGGATCCTTCTCACACGTGATTGCAGCTGGCTTTTCTGTGGTGATGGGTCTTGGGAATATTTGATCCTAGAGGAATGGGAACATGACAGCCATGCAGCTCCTCCATGCTTGGTCCCCCACAGGCACCAGGGCTGGAGGGGCCTTTGGCCCTTGGCTCTCCCCTGGGAAGACATAGACACAAGCTGGCCGGGCACTCTGTGGGTGGATGGAAACTTGGCTGGAAGTGCATGAACAGCAGGTAATGATAAATGGCATCAAGGAGGTGCTGATGGCAATGCCAGCATTGCTCTGCTCCTGCCCACCCCAGACACAGGCTCTGTCCCTCGGAGCCCTCACAACACTGCTGGCTGCTCCATGCTGAGCTGCTGGCATGGGCTGAGCTGAGCCATGTGCCACCCTCACCACCAGTGACAGGACACGGGCACTGTGTCAGTGCTGATGTAACCCACCGCAGTATGCTGGTGGTGGGGACAGCAGTGTCCTAGGCAGCTGGGTCCTTTGCAGCTGACGTTCAGGTGGCCCTGAGGATGTTGGATGTTTGGGACAGCCCATCAGGGCCAGCACTGAGCCCTTCTCCTCTGCATCATCATCATCCTCCTCTCATGGAGGAAATGAAGCATCTGGCACCAAGTGATGGAGAACTGAGGCTGCTCCAGCATCGCCACTTGGGCATGGGGCTCCAGCACTTCCTCAGCTCTACTTCCCATTGCTCTGGCTGCTGCTTGCCCAGGGGGAATGCC